GACCCGAGTCTCTTGCGAGCTTCCTCGCCACTGCCACCTACTCCCGGCTCTGCGGCCGCGAGTTCGACGACATCCAGCGATTTGATTCGTTCTGGGAGGATGAAAATAAATAGTGGTGTCTTGGTCGACGCAGCAGCCTTGAGGATCACTGTACGGCGAAGCTTAAAGAAAGCATCGTTGGTCTGACCAAGGCGTCGAGCATCAAAGGTCGCTTCGAGAAGGGTATCGCTGGCGACGCATTCTACAACAGCTGGCGTGGAGATATCTATGTTCGAGGTAGAAGAGTCTGCAGCCGAGGCAGAGGAGCCGGCTTCGTCGGCCATTCGCTCATCTACGTGAATGTAGCCTAGAAAGAACTGTCAGTATTCCCGATGGTGAAACAAAAACCAGACAGTCGAAAGATTATCCCTCTGCCCTTGCGGACAGAGATTCCCACCCGCCCAGGCTTCTGTGTGTAGAGCAGCCTTGACTCCAACCGGGCCATCGAGGTCCGGACGATGCATTGAGCGACCTTGAAGACAGGCGAAGCAAAGAGAAAGCAGGTTCTTCGTCCTCGCATGCGTAGCCGAACGACGCTACGTTGGAGGCGCGAGTGTCGCTGACAGGCGACTCCAGCCCGGGAAGGCTGAAGACCCTTCCCAAGACCCCAGTTCTTTCATGGAGCGCACTCGATGAGTAGAAGCTGGCATTTCTCGGTCTTGGGCGCGGTGGACGCACGCACTCGTGGCAGGTCGTTGAGCATCGCATGCGCGGCTGCCCGCGTGTGCGCGGGCACCTTTGAACTGACCGTTGTTGTATTGGCGATCTGCAGAGCAGATGACAGCATCGTCGGGTGGTGACGAGGTTCGACGTTGAAGGATGGTGCGCGATGAGTTGGTTGATGATAAGGTGAAGTCGGGGATGGAGCTGCGATCGGCGTGCACGCGTGAACTTGGAATGCGGTGGCTGATCGCAAGGATCCACTTTCCATTTCCTTCCAAGGCTGGATGCACGGGGCTGACCCTCGTGAACTTAATAGGTTCACGAGCTGTGACTCTCACGGCCACCTGCCCACCCCCTTCGAACAGAACAGGGAGAAAAAAAAAGGGTCTCTAATAGTCTAGAAATTATTTAGACAAGCAGTCGATAAATAAAGGGAAAAATTTAAATGGAGACGGTCAAGACTCTACTCGAACTCTGCCTGCCGGTTTGCATTGGATGGCAATGCTTACCACTTTTTTTTCTACCTTTTTCGTGATCGTAGATAAATTCTAATATCATTGATACTTATATTTCCTCCAAAATCCTGTGAATACTCTCAGGGCATGCATGAATACCTTACGTCTTGCTCGAACTGAACATTTTTTGATGTCTCAGGTCCCAGTTGCCCCTTCGATCAGGCCGGACGATTGAGACCGTTCAATCTGTGATCAAAATCCTCTTTGGGAATATCTTGAACCTTGTCCGTCCTCTTCAATTTCACACCGGACCTCTTCTCCCATCCGGGCAGACATTTTGTATGATCCGCATTTGGCTCAACTTGGTCCAACGAGTACTGTAGGTTCCGCTGCAGCAGATCTGGGAGCTCGGTCTGGAAGCCATTCTCCTGCATGAACTCTTTCGTGATGCCCAGATCTTTGACAAGCAGAGCCAGTCCAAAGCCACTGTTGTACCGCTCTGTGATTCCGTCTCGCCGGAAAGTGTCCAGCGTCGGAAAGCAAACACCTGTGCCCACGTTCAGGACATCTATCATTTGCTGTGGATCAAGGCCGAATTTCTGTCCCGTCACTAGGCTGTCGCATAAAGCGTTGATGGACGACGCCATGATGTAGTTATTGAGCGTCTTCATCGCATGACCACTGCCTAAAGGCCCCATGTGAAAGATATAGCTGAACATGCAGTCTAGAACAGGCTTCACCTTCTGAAAGGCCTCTGCTGAGTCCGAGCCCACCATGGCTGTCGACTGGCCCGCATCGGTAGCGTGCATATAGGTTTGCGTGATGGGACAGTCAATGAGTTGAATCTTATGCTGGCCAAGCTCCTTACCCAGCTCCTTTGTATCGAATGGCGATGACGACGACGTGTCCACCACAATAGTGCCAGGCTTCAGGGCCTTCGCAATACCGCGGTCCCCGAGCAGAACCTCCCGGACGATCTTCCCATGGGGCAGCATCGTGATGATGACCTCGCAATTGGAGAATGCGTCTGGATGGCCTTTTGAGGCGGTGGTGTTCTCCCATTCCCCAGCTGCGCGATCCGATTTTGTCGAATCGGCATCGTGAACTACCAGTGTGAAATTTCTCTTGGGTATGTTTGAAGCCATTGAGAAGCCTGCGTTGCCGAGGCCGATATACCCTACGCTGGTGACTTGTTCGTTATTGGGGGCCATGTTGGGTGGGAACGACTTGCGCTGAAAATAATGGCTTATCCAAAGCTTGATCAGTGCAAAGATAAGTGCGACAGTATTCTCTCTCAAAAAAGCTTGTGCCAGTTCTGCTCACAACATTATTAACGATGGCCGGGAGATTGATCCACTTAAGGAAGAAGGTTGGAGCGTGTGGAGAAGTTGCAGTCGCGATGAGACGGGAAGTTGGGAACTAGTGAACCGGAATACCTGTTTGAGTAAAGTCAATGGGTAAAACCGTCGACATGTCCAAGGGATCGACAGTGACCTCAACTTCAAAACACCTACACCAGGTAGGACTCGTTTGTGTGGCTTCAACGCTTTGGTCGCAAAGCTACCTGTATACCTAGGTATCCTCCACAACGGGTCCACACTACTCAACCTTAACCAAGCAATATTGGTCCTTCACACAAACGACAGACCCTGAATGTGATGAAACAAGTCACGATATTCTCTGTTACCCCAGGCTTATCAGATGTAGAAAGGCATTGATTTACAGCTAGAGTATTTCTCAACCTGGAATTACCACACGATGTGACACTTTCCAAGGTTGGAAAGCCAGCACCTTAGTACTTTGTTCTGTATTGAACACCCACCCGAACTGCCCGGGGTCTCAGAAAGCCAGCGAACTCAGCAGTCTTTCCAAGTATCGTGTCATTGGACTGGTGCAGGGTGTGCTGCCTCGGGATGAAGCTACAAACCCGTATCGGAGCCTCATGCGAGCAATCTGGCTACATATTTCGTTGAGTCACGAAGGCTCGTGACTTTCCAAAGTTGAATTTTCAGAGAACAGCGGCGTTCCAGGAAACACGACGCTACCGAAGTGCTTGCCCTCGCCGACCACAGGCATCTCGAAGTCAGTATTGCTGTCATAGCGACCTCTCTAAATCCATTGGCTCCCATGCTGTACTGCATACATTGCGTAATTCTTATCGGGTCGGGAGCGTTCTGAGTTACAGTGAGGCTGTCGTCTCAGCCATCCGCCACTTACGCGTTGCTTTCCAGCCGGATGGCCAGATCTGTCTACATAGGGTTGCCCCGCGCATTCATTGCCCGGGAAACCGTGCGCCGCTTATACCATGAGTGGAACCAAGGCAGCTCATTTCCAAGGGCGGCTCACGATGAATTGGCCTGGGCCCTGCAACCGTACTTGAATGCTGGCTGTTAGAACGTAAACAGCTGCCCGCGACAATTCCAATGGAAAGACAAGCATAATTAGGAAGGGAATAGTGGGTTTAATTGAGGATAAGGTACTAGTTAATGACAGCCTTTGATTTCGGACTGTAACCTTTGAAAGGATGGGACAAAGGGATTTAATAGTCAGTCTTTGTGCTGTTCCAGATTAGCAACCTAGGCTAAGTTTTCATATTCGTGCCCTTTATTAAGCATGTTTCCTTATAATATAGGTACTTTAGAACATAGTGCATACGTACTTGTCAATACTTGTATCTTGTAGCGCACATATCTCGGCCCTGATATACCTTTCCGGCAGATGCGTAGCTTACTTGTGTGCGCAAGTAGCTTACCTACTTGATAGGTACTGGGAGCGTGCGCACCGCTCTATAATGTGCTGTGTGAGCATATTTAAAGGGTGAATCTACTTTCAGGATAAGCTACGCTTTCAAAAACATTGGCGTACTTTAGACTTAGGTCATAGAACAAAATTAGGTCTCAATGAGGTACCTTACCGACCCGACATTGCTTTTCTAGGGGCTTGAATTTGCATGCGTATAGTCTATCGATTCCTCCGCCAACAGTAGCCTTTACTAAAGTAGTTTAGCAGGCATTGTGTCTTTTCGATTTGTAGTGAACAGCGAAGCCTGACAATAGTAGACTTGCACGGATAGTTATGCAGCATTTCAACCCGTGACTTCCAAAGCGTTGAGCAGAACAGGGGCCGTCCTCGATCTGTCCGGACAACATTTAGTCAAGAATCAATCACAACACTACTAGAAAGACTGTCGCTGCTATCACTTTTCTTTCCGCGAGTAACCAGCTACTAAGAATGTAACGCTCTGTGTCCATCGGATCGTAAGCCTGTTTCTAAAGAGACCACCTGCGCGAGATTGAGAAAAGCAAAAATAGCGTTCCAGATTGCGCGCACACGTAGATCCACCTGCGCAAACAGAGAGCTGTCATATCCCAGATCAACTCTGGAGACCTGCGCATCTTATATTCTGAATGTTGGTATCTGCGCGAGCCTTGCACATATAGAGCTTTAAGTAAGACAAAGGCAGATTGTTGAATTATAAAGGTGGTGCTTGTCCTTTGTTCTTATACAGGGACTTTAGGAGGTAAGCGGCTTGCTGCTTTATTGTAGAATTTGGAACAAAGTTAAATGCCAGGTAAGTATAAAAACAAGTGGCAAAGATAGGTGGAAGAGGTGGATTCTATAATAATATGCTTTATATATATATGCAGCTGAAGGGTTTTATATTACTTAGAGGTAAGAGACTTTACAGCAATTGTTCTAGATAATGATGTTTTGTAATTGTTATAAGCTGTGAAATTTTCGTTTATTTTCAAAATGCCTCGTGCTAAGTCAGAGTACAGTTGTTTGCATTCGCTGCGAATGTAAGCGGCTTAACCACGGATTAGCGCGTGGGTAGGCAACGAAGCTCGCGTAACGCAGTGGTAGCGTGTTGCTCTTATATACTTGACTTTGCTCAGGTCATATGACATTATACCTGTTATTTATACCGGGTAAATATAATGATATGCAAAAGTCGCGAGTTCGACCCTCGCCGTGAGCAGCTTATTTTTTTATTTTTTTATTTAAAGAAAGATTTCTTATAAAGATTTCTATGCTTATAGCGAGGGTCGAACTCGCGACTTTTAATGTGTTGCTCTTATTAATATCTTTTAAGGATTTTAGTATTTTTGCCTTTTCTTTTCTTCAGGTCTGCAAGCCCTTATAATATTTCGTTGCGGTTTCGGACTAGTAATCGGGGTTGCGGTTTGCAGAAGACATTGCGTCGAGTCTTCGACTAGCTGGTCGATATAGCAAAGTATAGGAAGCACTTGAATTTTCTAGTCCAAATATTAGTAGGGGTGGACATCGAGGTAATATACTTTGCCCTTTAGTTGTATATTACTAGGTTAATTGCAAGACTACATACTCCAGCCAGAAACTTTATATATACCTACAAAGACCTTGCTCTAATCTAGATTCCAGCCCTAAACAGGCCTACTTGGATAACTTATTAGTGGTACAGTGGGCCGGATAAAGTCTGAGCCACCACACCAAAATTCGGCATTCCGGAAATATGACCACCACACTTCCGATTAACATTTTGAGTACGTTTGAGGTCGTATAGATATGAAAAGTAGCTTATTTTGATGTATAGAGGTTGAATTTTAATATTTTGTATATCTACCCTTTGTAGCCCTAACTGCAGCTAGTCTATTAGGCAAAGAGTCGATGAGTATGTTAATCTCCGCCTGCGGTATCTCCTCCTACGCTTTTTATGCCACCGTTGTAAAATAAGCGATATTCTCGAGGTTTCTGGTCTTTTCCTATAGTTTATTATTAGATGTAAGAATCCGCTTCTTTAGTTTTGCCTAAACGTGCTCGATGGGCGCTAGATTAGGCGAGTGAGCAGGCCAGTCTATTATCTTAATTATTTTACGTGCGAACTACTCTATTGTTTTAGCAGAAGTGTGTATACGCGTGTTATCCTGTTGGAAATTACGAGTTCCGTTATAGATAGGCAAAAGGGTATGCTCGAGGACCTATAAGTAAGATTTGGTGGTATATCCCTTACGTTTTGCCGTCTGATCCCTCTCTATGACTATAAGGGGTGTCCGACCTCCCTTCTAGATCGTACCCTATATTATAATAGTGATCGTAGGCTTTATATGATTGCGTAAATTAACTAAATTATAGCGGTATCTCTCTTTTGAATACCGCTAAACCTATTCCCGAGGTCTAGAGGGATTATTTTGAACGCTGTACTCGTTAGAGTTGATTATTTAAAGAGGGTGGATCTGTTAGTGAGCACGTTTAAAAGCCGGGAAAAAAATGACTATAGTAACTATACGAACTCTTAATAACCGCTTAAGATCTTTCTCCTAGATTTTGTATTAATTAGAATGATCACTTAGATTATCTATAGAAAGAGGAATTCGCTTCGTAGTAGCCTACCTCGCTAAATGGATGGCGTTTAAAGCCTTCCGGTAGGTCTTATCTGAAGCCTGGATACCTAGGGCCTCTCTTATCTCCTTGTACGTCGCCCTGGGCTCCCGGCGGATGAAAAACTTTAAGCATCTGATAGCCCGTTGACTGAAGATTGGAGGTCTGCTAGATCTAGTGCCAGATTTGAGGGTCTGGGTGGCTGATTAGCGAGTTTCTGTACGCCGTAGTGCGCCGTGTGAAATGCTTATCGCGTTCCGTAAGAGATTGGGGGATTCGCTATAGGATTTTGCAATGAGAAGTGAAGCTCTGAGCTCCGGAGTAAGTTCGCTAGAATGGCAACGATTTGAAGATAATTTACTTAAAATGCGAGCAGTAGGGGACGCCATTGTGGTTGTTGAGAAGAAAAATAAAAAGTGGTGGGTATTCGCGTGGGACGCGTTAAATAGAGCGGAGTCGCGAAAGTGGCTCAGACTTTATCGGGCCCACCGTAGTAGCTAGGTAGCTACCGAGAAATCAGCCATACTTTGTTCCCTTCTCAAGGACCTGGGAGCAAGAGCAATCGGGATAAAGAACTTAGAACAGGCGTTTTTATCAACAAACATTGATCATCAGTGATAAAGCAGAAACGCTTGCCCATCTCCAGAGCCGTCCTTCAACTAATGCGCCCCACCCACAAAGTCCAACAGCATCATCGTCCTTTACACCACAGCACTTGGTGTTCGAGCCTACCATTGCCCTAGCTGAGAAAATCCTTGCTGCAGCAGGTAGAATGGGTTGGACAGTACAAAAACTGTTACAGTACGAGTGGGCATATTGGAAGGGAGATGATGCTGCTACATTCTGATGAACTTGGCATGCATGGCAGACTGTTGGCGACTGCAGCCTCTGAAACAGTGTTCGACTTGCAAATGCTCTTCTTTCAACAAAGAGCCAGGTCTACAGCCTTCGATTCGCAGCTGTCACAATCCTCAAAGTGTTAGTATTTCAGAGTTGTGTTAGTTTTGGATTCATAGCTCTCCTCACCTGTTCTTTTGAAACATTCTTTAACACTAGACTTGGAGACGGCATTAACATTCTTGACAATACACCCATCGTAACTGCTGAGCTGGAGTCAACTAGAGCGACTCGCATTTCTGGGCCAAAATCCCACTCACTAGTCTGATCCCGCGTGGGCGGATTCTGAGGTAGCCTGACCAGACGAAAATGAGGCATCGATACTTGCCGACGAACGGTTACGGTTGTCGGTCGCGTTCACAGGGTCTGCACGTTGTTGTTCGCGATACTTTTACCTTTAGTAGTGGCGACGCTGCCAGCAGGGTTGTGAAAAAAGTTTGTAGTCAATTAGTAACTTTTAAGTTACTACAAACTACTATAGTTAAAGTTAGTACTTTTTATTAACTACTATAGTTAAAGTTAGTACTTTTTATTAACTATAGTAGTTTATAGTTAGTAGAAGTTAGCAGGGTATAAAAGTGTAATAACTTTCAATAACTATATATAGTTAATTAATAACTAATTATAGTTTATTTTATTAGTAAGCATCAATATATATAAGGAGAATCTTTAAGCGAATAAAAAAATAAAAAAATAAAAGCCTTTTAAATAATATATATATTAAATGAGCTTTAAACTTCGTACGTACAAAAGCGTAATCACAAGTAAAAGCAATTCAATAAAACAGTGGGTTTAATTCTTTATATCCTAAGAAAGTAGAATTAGAAACTATGATCCGTACGGACGACCTTTTATGCCCCTGGCGGATTATATTAGCCAGATCCCATCCGTACGTCTAGGGATCCGTAGGGTACAGAGCCGCAACACCAATGCCACTATTCCAACAATATAAATACATTTTACGAGAACTTTTATTTTATTTTATTAAACTATAGTTAATCAAAGTTACTAAAAGATACTATAGAAAAAGTGTAGTTAGTTTTAGTCAGTACCTACTATTAACTATATATAGTTAGCAGTTAGTTAGTACTAATTGTAGTTAGTTTTAGTCAACTCTATTAACTAACTTCAGTAACTTTTTTCACAACCCTGGCTGCCAGCTACATCGAGCGTGGGAATCAAGGTAGGGGAAAAATTGGATATAGTTTTTCGCGATGCGCTAATCTGGCTACCGCTATCTTTTGTATCCGTCCTCTAACCAAAAGGGGGGGGGGTCAGATGCAGGCTGGCCGCCTAGGTGGCTTACCTTCCTTCGGTGGTTGGTGTGAATGGCGTTATATCCGTAATGAGCGGTGCCATTTTTGGATGCGGCCTACAAATTTGATCGTAGTATGAAATCAAGGAATTGGACACTCAGATGGATGGTTGGAAGTTTGGTGACGCGGAGGAAGTTTTCGATCGGTGAAGGCGGATGATGAGAATGGTGATGAACAGCAGCGGGATGCGTTCCAATGAATTTATATGGCCAATAGCGACCGCAGATCTCCAGCTGGACATTTCAAGACCTCGGTGAAGGAGTTGTTTCGGAGCGAGACCGGCTGTGCCAGACCGTTTCTGTAGGGTCTTCGTGAACGCCTCGCTCAGAGTACCAAACCAACCAGGAAGATTATAAGAATGCCTCCGGCTACTTAGGTACTTGAACAACGAGCCAGTCAGGAGATACATGCCATTCTCTTTACATCATACAAGACCACGGGTTTGATTAATCCTTGGTCCCAGTATGACACGTGCCTGCTTGACACTTTTGGAGAAAAATGCGAGAATTTCTGCGCCTCAATGCTAGCTTGGAAAACATATTGCAACCCTGTATTGATTGATAGCTGGGCAACTTGATGCACTTCGGCGTGTGACAGGCTTGATGACAATACGTCTCTCAGAGTAGGCAGGTTCCATAGCATATTTATTGACGAATTCTAGGGTCATCTGAAGCACCATATTTGAGGAAATGGGATATTTGATACCTTCGTGTTTCCCGTCAATAGCGGTTTCAGTGAACATATTTTTGCGTCTTCGGCGATGGCTGACTTATAGAATAAGTACATACTTCTCGTCCGGTCGAGTTCATCGCAATTTGCTTGCCATGTGTGCGCAAGCATTTGGTTAGTGCATTTTCTACGAGCTTCAATAGGTGTTGAACGGTAACGGGTATCAAATAATGTTGGTTCATTGAGGCCCGGCAGTGGAACATGGGAGATGGTTCCAAGGTTGCTTTCGTGATCTTTGCTCAACGAAGATTGATCCAGGGGCCTAGCTCCAGCCTCATCAACTAGCTAAGCCCTAAGACGGCCTGTAAATTACTGAGGATGGGCTGCTTACAAGAGGTGGCCGCGATCGGTATCTGTCTTCTCGCTAACCCCGTGATGCTTTCAAGAAAGTGCTGGTGGCAGTGCCGTCCCAGCTGATTGTGCGGCCCGTTCAACTGTCTCTTCAAGTCTTGATAGTGCAGGAGCTGTTTCTATCATCACGTACATTTTTCAACCTCTTAGATGAGGCCATGTGGTCTATAAATTAGGCATCCGTGTAGCGGACCTACCATCGAAAAGCTGGGGCGCTGCACAGATCGAAAACCGAGCCTGACCGCTTACCGGTCAACGGCCTATTTTGTTGTCTAAGCCTCCTTGGGCATCAATCCTGCTCCAACTTCTGACGTATAAGTTCCCCATC